TATAGATACTTTCATGGTCATTGTTCGGATGAACTCTTCGCTAGGGTACCTAGACTGTACAAATTTAAGCGCAGTACTAGACTGACGACGAGATCTCATCAATTTACAGTTGAACTAGGTAGATGTAACCGTAAATTCTATGCTAACAGTCTCTTATCTCGCACTTCTCGCTCGTGGAACCCCTCTCAGCTCCATTCTTTCCAACCAACTTTAATCTGCAAAAATTTAAATGCAACGTCAATCGCTATCTACTGTCCTCCTGATGGCTCTTTTCTCGTCCTCTTCGTTACTAATGTTTCTGTTCCTAATTCCTTCACACCATGTGACCCTTTGCGTGCTAGTGGTTGTACTGCTTTGCTTGGGGTGATATCGATTTAAACAAATCTTATGTCATCATATTGGAATAAAAAGGTAGATAAAATGGTGTATATCATAACTTTAATGTTTGCATCAATAAAGAAACCTTTTTTTTAAAAAATAGATTCAAGGCAAACATGCGTAGATATTTTGGTACCTGAACGCGCATGCGCATGCGTGTCGACTATGATATCGCTTTCAGACAGTGGATCAATTTTATTAGGACGACCGGCTTTTGGGTTTTCTGATTTTAAGATACGATTCCATTGATCTCTCGTTTGTCAGAATCAATCCATCGTTTGTTTTCCCTGATGCTTTCTTGCTAGACATAAAAATAACCTGGAATTGCTAAAAGACAGTTCTAACGCATTTTCGTGATAGAAACGCCAAAATAAACTGAAGAAAACTACTAATAAACCAATACATGAAGTCCAAATTAATTACACAATAAAATTTGTATGAATCAACAATATATCCTTATTAAAACTATGCATAATAAATTGTTTGGTGGGTGTTTTATTATGCTAAGTACATAAATTATTATGATATTAGATCGCGACATTCATAAAGATGTCATGCATGGCGCTAAACACATTCAGAAATGGCTAAATTGTTTTACGAGAAATATAAATTTCAATCGACGGAAGTACATGGTGCTCGGTCAATGAATGCTGAATTTTTACTGATAAGGAAACGGCTGATATTACCATCAACATCATAGAAATAAATCCAAGAGATATAGACCATAACATATAATTTTCATAAATATAATCTATCTATCTATCTATCTATCTATCTATCTATCTATCTATCTATATATATATATTTATATTTAAATGTAAAAGAACGAAAAGAATATAAATCCAAACGTTTATAACATTAATTTAAAAAAGGGATCGATACAAGAGTAGATCAATAGATATTTAATATAAACAACCTAATGAGACGTTTATAGACGTCGAAACAAATATGCATTTTTGTCGTGGTAACTTGCATGTTCCAATGTAATAGTTTATTATATATATACATACATACATACATACATACACACACACACATATATATATATATATATATATATATATATATAATTATGAATAAATTATTAATTTATTACTTTTCCCGACAATATGAGCTAATTGATATTCTATAACCTTCATTATTTTTTTGTACATAATTTTATTAACTTTCCATCATTTTGATTTAACATTACATGAACCGATTTCTATTGAATCACAGAGATCATTTTTTTCAGGAATATTGTTTTCCATTCCCATACATTTTCTTTTTAATCCATTAGTGCCTAACATTACACATTTTGAACGGTAGTCATTAATGTGTTATAGGGGGAAATTCATGCTGATATATTTTTTTATGAGCAAAATATCATGGAAGATTTAGCGTATAATATCAATCCTTGTTATAGTATGCGGAATAACCTGTTTGGCGTCATCTTTGACGATTTGATTTTGACTTATTCGTTTTCTACGGCTTATCAGCCCATTGCAGGTTATTTAAAGACAGAAAATATTTTTAGACTGTAAGAATGTTTTTATTCGACATAATGCTTTGCTGGTACGAGTCTTAAGTTTCTGTCCGTCTGTATGTACAAGTATATATATATATATATATATATATATATATATATTGAATAAAAGACAGACCACGTTAAGATTCCATGTAATGTCGTTCTTATCATTCACCCCTTAGCCATCTATATCTAAAGACGAGACGCGTTAAATTTGAGCAACATCTAGCCGACACACTGGGGTTAAAAATAGGAAACTGAAATGATACATATGACATACTCATATCCTCTCTCCCACCTCACTCCCTCACTTCGTTAATTTTACGTATACTTGATGAGGTCCGTCAAAAACGTGTGAATTTCTTTTCATTTTTCGTTTCAGCTTTTGGAAGTAAAGTCTGATGATCCAGAACCCTGTTAAAGGGGTTATGGTGAAATAGCTTATTACATGGAATCCTAACGTGGTCTGTCTTTTATTCAAACATATATGCTCTGAATTTTACATTGAGCTCTCTGGATATCATCCTCCTCAGGTCTACCCATACGGATTACCTAAGTTTGCATAAACTAACTAACTAACTATATATATATATATATATATATATATATATAAAGGCACGGTACAGTAGGGAATAGCGGCTCAGATTACATTCACTTATGTGCTAATACCCTTGGGAAAGGTATTAATCCTCTTCTTCTCCCCACCCAGACTGGGTTCTATAGCCTTGCATGACAGCTAGACTAGGAGAAGGACAACTTTGAATTCAAAATCTGCAGTGGGTCGTTTGGGGACCTTGTGGTACTTAGTACACCAGGTCTCTGTATTCGGCCCTTCAAAAAATATGGTTGGTTCTGTACAAATCCTTCACCACTATAATCAAATCATGTGCTGGTGTCTGGGCTGTCGGTTCCTAGGAACTGAGCTGCTTGACCCTCATAAGTCGAATACGACGGGAGAGTCCACTATATATATATATATATATATATATATATATATATATATAAATTCCTGATTTAAAATCTAACGATACTAAACGGCTCTAATAAACACTCTCTTAAGTCTGGACATTAAAAGATAATAAGCAAACGTAATTTAATTTGATTTATGATTCCAACTTATTTTTAGAGATCCCAAGGCATTTTTCGCAGACACAGTTTTGCCTTTGTTTCATTCTAACATGAGGAAGCCAAAGATTTAATGCACTCACCGGCGAAAATATACGCATCTTTAATAAATTTTCCATTTTGTCTCATCTTCACGTTATATTTATTATATTTATATATTTATTTATTTATATATTTATATTTATATATAATATTTATTAGATTTATATCCAAAAGGTTTAGACCCCAGAAACATATATTTGATTAACAATATCCCATATACATGAACAAATTATTTCATACGAAATTGCGCTCCTTGACAGTCTACTGCTGAAATGGGCCTTTCAAGCAATAAGTCATCCATGAAGCAATTTTATCAAATTCTCTACACTTTTCACTTAGAAGTTACTTGCAGCATTCTTGATATTGATTTCCTGAGATCCTTTTACTTCAAACTCTTTTAATAATGAACCAGAAGTTTCTATTATATTAATGTCTGAAAAGTCCGGATGCTATTCCAGTAATTTGGTGTCTCTCTGGAACTTTTTCTTGGAAAGGTTAGTAAGAGTCAGCTTTGCAGAATATTAAGGAACATTGTCTTGCATGTGCAGCAAGACAATGCTCTGTAAATATTTTGCTGTTCGGTCTATGAATGCCAAATGTTTCCTTGTAGGGCAATGGCTAATATTACCATAACCATTTGTGGCCTCTACTAGTAAAAATGTGTCTTGTCCAAGAATTTACAATACGTCTCTGCATTCATCTTGACGCCATGTGACACCATCTATGACGCTATGACACATCTTTGTATCGTCCTATAATTTAATTGGCTACAATAATATCTCAAAACATTACAACCTTCCCACTAACGTCGTTTAAGTCATGTTGATTGACTATTTCCATGAAGGGTAAAACCTGTAGCCTCTCCATCAGATTCATTCAATGGAGCACAACATTCGTCATTAAAAGTATTGATGACTACATGTACTTTCACTGTGGGATATTTACATAAATGTAGTAATTGTTTAATATATATTTAACCAATTTTCTTAATAACCTGAAAGATTTCTTCCTGTTTACATTTGTGAAACTAAATTTTCTCACTGGTCAATCTGTTATTTTTTCTGTTTTTTTCTGTTTTCTTTTCTTCTTCTTCTTCTTCTTCTTCTTCTTCTTCTTCTTCTTCTTCTTCTATATGCTTTCTCTCCAGGGCGTAGGCAATCATGGCTCTTTACAACCTCCTATTCCTTGTAGCCTTTAGCAAAAGTTGTCCCTTTTTTAAAATTTCCACCCCTATTCTTCTTCTTCTTCTTCTTCTTCTTCTTCTTCTTCTTCTTCTATATGCTTTCTCTTCGTAGGCAATCATGGCTCTTTTCTTGTAGCCTTTAGCAAAAGTTGGCCTTTTTTAAACTTTCCATCCCTATCCTGACATGCTTTCACATGTCATGTGTGCCCCCCCTGCTCCCCTTTATCTCATGTGGGTGTCAATTTCCCCAAGTCCTCTTTCCTCATTACGTGCCCGCGAAATTTCTGCTGTCTCTTTCTGATTCTGAGCGTAAGTGTTCTTGTGGTTCCCATTTTCGTTAAGACATCATTGTTACTAAACGCGCTCTGTCCATTGTATTCCAAGCATCCTTCTGTGGAACCATATTTCTGTCGCCTCTAGTTTTCTCGTCAACTGTGAGGAAATTATCCAGCATTCACTACCCTAGAAAAGGATTGAAATTGCATAACACTCATAATCATTACTCTTTTAAATTTCCTATAATTTGTTGCATGTTCTTATAGTAATTTTCTCTTTTTTTCTACCTTACCATTTTTTCTTTTGTTTTTATTCACTTTTATCATTGTTTTCTGATTAAAAAAACAACAACATTTAATCAATTTCTAACGCTTTGTTATTCTTACTCAATAATTCAACACTATTTTGTTTCTCTTTTGAGAATATATCTTTCCTATGACCCATGGCTATTTTTCTTTAAGCTTTCGTTTGAAATCTCCTAGTAATTTAATCTCGTACGATCACTGAAGTTAAGCAACGTCCAGCCTGGTCATTACCCAGATGGGTGACCACTTGGGAATACCAGGTGCTGTAAGCTTGGATGTGCGGGTGGTGTAATGGATAAAGGCTCGGAATTGGAAATCCGAGATCTAAATTCGTATTGCAGTCGCGTTTGTTATATTAAAATACGCGCAAATACCCCTAGGAAATGTATGTATCCGACTCTCCCCCCCCCATCTATAGGTTAATTACTAGAAATTGTATTAGTAAAACATTATTAACTTCAGAAATAAATTCTTACAATGTAAACATATTTTCTGGTTTTAAATAACCTGCAAAGGGTTGATAAACTGTAAAACAAACAAAAAAATCTCGTACTTTCATTGTCGAGTCAGTACTGTCTTCAGTGCTGATGTCTTCTTTCAACTTCTGTTTGCTTGACATATATTCTGTGACGTCATTTCTGACTTGCAGAGCATAAGTCAAAATCGTTAGATTTTTAGTTTCCTGGACTTTAAATTTCATCTCCCTCTTGTCCGAAACATTTTAATCTCGAAATTGTTTGTGATTTAGTAGGGTTTCTGAACGACTATCTAATATCAACACTCCAATATAGCATTGAATACTGGAAAATTTCCTCACACATGAAGAGGAGACTTGAGACAGTAGAGATGTGGTTCTACAGAAGGATTCTGAGAATACCATGGAAGGAATATGTGAAAAATTTGGAAGTTTTTAAAATTTTTTCCTATTATTATAGATTAAGCACTCCAGATTACGAATATTTTAAAAAATATATTGAATTTTATAAAACTTAAGAAGGGATCCTGTTTGCTATCTAAATTATCTCTAAATTGATTTCCCCTGCGAAAGGCATCAATATATGCTCATACCACCTGATTTCTTCAAACTTAAAAAATAATTATTTCTAAATTTGTGGCTTGAATTGCTTAATCGATAATAATGCTTGCATTTAACTTTATTTCATTTTCGTCCAACTATATAGGTTTTGCTACTAGCAGTCCCGTTTCTCCTTTTAAGTATTATTTACATATCAAGGTTCAAATCCATTCTTTTTCAAGTTCTTAGATTCTTGTATTTCCTTTGGAGACGTTTGCCCAACACTTCACTTGCTTCAATGCTTTGATCTTATGATTCAACATCTGTTGCTTTATTTGTCATTTCTTTAATATGTTATGTAGTAAATCTCTCACTAGATTCTGTTTGAAACCCTCTTATATGGTAGAAAATGTTGAAGGAGAGACTTGATACAAGAATGTTGGATGGCAAATATAGGGCGGCTTTTAAGCTAGTTTATAATAAAAAGTACACTGCAATTTTGGATACAAAAGGAAAATAAGAGTTACTCCCCTTGAACCACGAAAGAAACAATAATGGCTAGTATAATGTATTAATATAGATTTTTAACCTCGCATAATCTGGCAACCTTGAATCTCAGCTCAACGAAAATCTTTCCCTGAGCCTAACTTTTCTAGGGGTTTTGAATGAGCTATGTATCATTGAAATTGGACCAGTGGAAGCGGAGGAGTTGCTTGGGCACACACACGCACGAACACACACGCACATACACTCTACTTTATATATAAGATTAAGCACTCCAGATTAGATACTAGATTCTGTTTGAAACCTTCTTATATGGTAGGGAATGTGGGACAGTTTCCTCGAAGATGAAGGAGAGACTTGGTAGAACAGAAATGTTCTACAGAAGAACGCTGAGAATACCATGGATGGCAATTATTACCATTACCAAACTTTTTCCAATGAGCATCTCCACGGTGATTATCTATCAGAGCTCGAGGACAGCGATGAGCTGCCCTTTTTCTTTTCTCTTATGTTCATTTATAACATGATCTCACTATGGATAAGTGTCCTGAGACTTAACGAATATTGGTTTATCGATTACCTTCTATGGAACATGTCAGCAACGAAGGCGTCTTAAGGAAAATAGGAACACTTGTACTTAGAAACAGAAAGAGACAGTGGAAATTACTTGAGGGACATAACGAAGAAAGAAGGCTTGGAGAATTTGTCACTCACAGGACATAATGAAAGCAAGAGAACCAGATTGAAACAAAGACTAACTTATCTTAGCTTGTGTAAATAGATGGTAGAACCGTTGCTTAGGGCTCCAACGAATAAAACGTTGTGGATAGCCATGATCTCTTATATCTGGAAGATACAAGTCTTATCGAAGAAGATTTAAGGAAAATGGGAATAAAAAGGATTTAAAATCTGAAAGCGACAACTGAAATTACTAGGACACCATAATGAGGGAGGGAGGAAGGCATGGAGAATTTGATAGGACCTACTGAAGAGGAAAAAATCGAGTAACCTGCCTAACGAGCTGATGTTCATGGATGGCAGAACAGAGGCTGGCATAGGAAGGGGACGAACGTTATTTAGATCCACGAAGGATAGGAAGATGTGGAGAGCTATGAATGGACATGGCATAGAGAAGAAGAACACACCATAAACAGAACAATGAGAAACAATTTAATGAAAATGGGAACAAAAAGGACACGCCTACGTAGAATTAGACAATTGAAATTTCTGCAGCACATAATGAGGAAAGAAGGCTTGGAGAATTTGACGCTCACAGAACGTAGTGAAAGCAAGAGAAGCAGAGGGGTACATCGAGTAATTCTATATAACGAGGTTGTATAAATAGCGGAGATATTAAGAAGACAAATATTACTTAGAGCTACAAAGGATAGAAAGTTGTGGAGAGACATGTTCTTCTACGTTCTGAAAGGTCACGGTACTTAAAGGAAGAGGCTGCTCCTGCTGGAATAGTCCTTTAATATCTGCCGAAAGACAGTGCCAAGTCAAGCAAACAATGACAAAGTTAGTTTCATCGATTTGACGAATGATCAAAGAAACAAGTTTAAAATATATTTATTTGTTCCAAATCTTTTTTTTTTTACCCTGAAACTTTATTTTTTCATCGTCAACTCAGAGTTGATCTTCAGCAGTTTTGACCGTTTTTCTTTTTTTTTCCCGCCTCTTGTGTGCTTTATCCAATCTTGAATGACGTGCTCCTCCGACCAAACTGATTGCCTTTTAACGTTAATGGCGTCACCGATTTCTGGTCGTAGAACCAATCGCTATTTTACTGCGTCTATTCACCTTCAGTTGTAATGACCTTTCCCCCCACGCTGCCGACGGTTTCCTAACGTTATAAGATATTACGTGATTGCTTCCCTTTGGGTAACTCTCTGTAGGACACAAAGTAATTTTGATGTTTTGCTGATAATGCTTTTTAAATTGACATTTACTTGTCTGCTTGCGTGAGGAACTAATTTTTATACATCCCACCAATCATGCAAGTAGTTTTTCTTTTTACACTGAAGGACGCTCAATGGAATGGTGCCAGGAGAATAAGTATTTATGCGCTGGGAAAATATAGCTATATAAATGCTTCAGTTATTGTGCATTTCACAAGTTAAATGTTCATTCTATTTACCGTCTCAATGCATTGAAAATCCATTTGTTTTTATTGCAGTAGCTTATTATGAATGTTTCTTTTTCTTTTTATTCTTTCTTTCTTTCTTTTTCTTTCTTTCTTTCTTTCTTTTTTGGTTTCATCCTTTATAACCTTTCTTTCTTTCTTTCTTTCTTTCTTTCTTTCTTTCTTTCTTTCTTTCTTTCTTTCTTATAACCCCGTCTTTCTTTCTTTCTTTCTTTCTTTCTTTCTTTCTTTCTTTCTTTCTTTCTTTCTTTCTTTCTCATAACCCCTTCTTTCTTTCTTTCTTTCTTTCTTTCTTTTCTGGTTTCATTTATTTTTTCTTTCATTTTCCTTATTTTGGTTCCGTTTTTCATTCCTTCTTTCTTTTATCGTCATTTCTCTAGTTTTCTCCTTTCATTTTACATTAATTTCCTTTTTCCTTTCTTTTTCCTTTTCCTTTTTATCTTTCCTTTTTTGCTTTCTTTCTTTCTTAGCTTCATTCTTTTTTTTATTTTTCAATCATTTTGAACGGTTTCCTTTCTTATATTTTGTTTTTTATTTCTTTCTTTGCTTTGGTCCTATTTTTTTTCTTTCTATCATTGTTTCCATTTTATTTGTTTCATTTCTTTCTCCATTCTATTTGGCCTGATTTATTTTCAATATTTCTTTCTTTCTTTCTTTGGGTTACATTTATTTGTTTGTTTCTTATTTAATTTCTTTCTTTCTTTCTTTTTCATTGGACCGCTTTCTTTCTCATATTTCCTTTCCTTCTTATTTTCGTTTATTTCGATTTGCCTGTTCGTTCATTTTTCCTGATTGATCTGCATGGTAATAGTGATTCTTAGACAAGAATAAACAAAACGCAGCTGAAATATTTCGACGAATCAATCTTTCTTAATTCATTTTCTCTGTTTTTCATTCGGCACTTCACCCGCTCTTTATATATATATATATATATATATATATATATATATATATATATATATATATATCAATTCAACTATAATAAATCAACTACAATAAATCAACCAAAAATCGATCGATCGAATTAGCAATTAACAGGCCGATTAGACAGGCACACATACACAGACACACACACAGTTACACACACAGTTACATACACACACACACACACACACACACATATATATATATATATATATATATATACACTCATGCTTATACAGAGAACGTCTGTCGTAGAGAGGAAGTTTGTTGAGAGAGAGAGAGAGAGAGGAGAGAGAGAGAGACCATAGTCCTACTAGTTTCCTGCTATATAGTAACAATGCATATTATCTATCTATCTATCTATCTATCTATCTATCCCAGCCTGTTCATATTCATCTATCTATCTATCTATCTATCTATCTATCTATCTATCTATCTATCTATCTATCTATCTAATTCAAATCCCCGTGTTTTTTTGTGTATATACGATAAATACATTAATATATATATATATATATATATATATATATATATATATATATATATATACAAAATGTATGCGAATATAACGTGACAAATTGTAAAAGCTATTCAGATAACGCGTTACGCCTCTTTATGGCAGGCGACTTCAGCTTGGAATGCACGTGAAATGCATGTGTGAGGGAAGTATGTTAGAATTTT